AACTTATTTTTGTTAATTTAACAAACTTAGAATTTAGGAATTTCAATTATTTTATTTTCATTAACTTTAAAAACCTTTTTTCATAAAAAAACCCTAAAAATATTTTCCTAACAAATTTAGTTTCTTTTTCTTTTCTTAAATTTAATTGAATTAATATTAGACTTAGTTTTATTTTAATTTTCTTTTAACTTAGAATCTAGGAATTTAATTAATTATTTTCTTTCTTTTTATTAGTTTAATTAGGTTAATATTAAACCTTTTATACAAAAACTCAAACAAAAACATTTTCCTTTTCTTGTACATTATCTTTATATTCTTGTACATTTTTATCTTGCAATATTCAATATGGTTGTAATAGTAATGTAGGGGTTTATTTGTTTTATCTCCCCATTTGTAAATTTGTACCCTCATCCCCAAATGATGTAATAGTGTAGAATTTTACATTTCCGCAATTTATCGCTTTCATTATAAATGGTAATGATTAGGGTTTATATGGAAAGACATAAAATCAACAAGTAGAAAACCCAAATTCAAGACAAATTAAATGAAAATAATACACTTCACATACTTGCACCTCTAGGGTTAACCCACACTTGTTGTCTTCGAATAAAAACAATCATATCCCTCGAACGTGGGATACTTTAGCAATGACCCTCAAATACAAGATTGTAGTCTATCGATGACCCTTCAAATGTTGTCTTTGGTAAACGATCTTATACCCTTAAGATAAATTGCTAAGGTATCCTATAATGTTACTTTATATGACTATATGATTACCCATGCCCGTCTCTTCGCATCCAATGATAGGACTTCTTATTAATCAATGATAAGATAGCAATATCTAAATGAGGAGGAAAAGAACTTAGACTTTTTGAGTAGGTAGAACGTTCGTAGTTGCTTGCTCGCAATCATTTTCAAAACATCTTTCAAACGCACCAACATTTTCAAATGAAATTTTTTCAAAAGGCAACACTTTGTATGCATTTTTATAGAGACGAGAATTATTACAAAGTTCGCCTAAACAAAGGCACTTTCAAAAATACTTTCAAAAACATCACAAACACATTTCAAACAAAGCATTTCAAAGTGACATAGCAACTAAGAGCCCGTATATAACTACGGATGAAAAGGGTGCTAACACCTTCCCTTTTCATAACCTACCCCTCGAACTCAAGAAAATTCTCAAAAGGTCTTTCTTGTTCTTTTCACCCTTTCCTTTATTGATAAAAGTTGGTGGCGACTCTTGCTATCCGCAACAATTGTGATAAAACGCAAAACGCCTAAGTCAGTTCTCCCATCGTATTACATCGTCCTCCTGCAGTAGGCTGGATTCTCTAATTCATATGTCTCCTCCCTCGTCCTCCCGCAGACGCACTTCTCTATTTAGTGCATTTGAGATGGGAGAGACGTCTGATTCTCAGATGACACCAGAGGCCCAACCACAACCTCCATCACAACCTCAATCCCAAACAACACCTGAGGCGTCTCCTTAGTTATCCCAAACACCTGAGCTAACTCATGAGGCGGTACCTGAGTCTGCATCTGCACAGGATGCACCTGCGGCGCCTCAAAATTTTGGAGGAGGACCCTCTGATTTATCCCTTCTTCCTCTTTACCCTGACCATGTTGCTAGATATATATGGGACAAACTTGTATAAATTTTGAATTTTGATTTCTATTACATTTTTGTTATGAATTTTATTATGAATTTTGAATTTTGGTTTGTTGATTAAATCCGTTAAAATATTTATGCAGGAACGTGATACGCTAAAGGTCATTAACCATGGGAGGAAAAACAGTAGACTCATACCCCCTGTTGAGCCATGGTTTGATGAGCTTTTGCAGCTTACAGGGTTGAAAGATTTGACCCAATATGGATACAACAGTTTCAACTGGGGTATGATTAATGCTTTCGTTGAGAAGTGGCACCATGAGACGTCATCGTTCCATCAACTACATGGTGAGATGACAATCACCCTGAACGACATCGCGTGTCTACTGGATATAATAATGAGAGGGACATTTTTATATCATGAGATGATTGACAAAGAGGGGGCATTGGATATGTTGGTTCAATATTTGAGAGTTACCCTTGAGAGTGCCTTGAAAGAGATTGATAAAACCCGTGGTACCCGCATTAGGTATAATTATTTGGATATAGTGTTCACAAATGAGATAAGACGTGCATGAGAGGCTGATGGTGATTCCGAGCAAGTTACCATTCACAAGAGGTTTGCTATGAGATGATACCTTTTGTATCTTGTTGGCCCGCAAATTTTTATGGACACTAGTGCAATTTACACCGATATTATGTACCTACGATATTTTGATGATTTTGAGACGATCCACCCGCGGAACTGGGGGACTGCTTGCTTAGTTTACTTGTATACAAAGTTTGACAAAGGAATTAAGTGGAATACGAGGGAGATGACGATAACATGTCACTCATGACAGTATAACTTCTTGGTCTTAGTGGGTTTTTGTTAATTATTGTGATTCTAGAACTAACTATTTAATTTTATTATTTCAGGGATGGATCCTACAATACTTCTCCCGCATCTCGGGTTGGTCACTTGCTACAGGTTATACTGAAGATAAGCCGTGTGCCTGTGCATACGACCCGTTCCGAGGGAACCAGGCGATATAGCCATTTCAGGTGTACATTAAATGGTTAGTGCATGAGGACATACACTTCTTTTCATATGTCGACCACCGCGTGACGATACTATTTGACGAGGTTACACTGTTTACGGGTTGGTTGGTATGTGGGATTCACAAGACAACAACTTATATGCCTAAGTGAGTGATGTGTTAATTCAGGTTCCTCCAAACCATTCTCCGGGATCCTACTGTATCTGCTCCTCCGACGCTGAAACAGAGGGATATGAATGCTTTGTTTGATGATTTTGAGAATCATCTTGATCTTGATGAGGTCAGGAGTACCGTAGCACCAGGCGATTGGAGCTACAAGTACAATTACATGATATGGTTCTTCTGGGCATCCCATCCATACATGGTACAAGATGCTCCAGGGAAACCATTGAGGCCAGTTCATCAGGAGATCCTAGAGAATGAGCAGACTAGGGCCGATCATGCCACTAACGTGTTGCCTAGGTGCCATCGTAGCATAGAGATTGCACGAGAGATGGTATTGATAAAGGTACGTTTTTTGATGGATCCAATGTTAGAGGTGTTCTGGATGCCATCACGGCGGAGACTCTATTTTACAGGAGGCAGCGGATGAACACCTCGAGGGTGACAACCCGACTAAACTTCTGCCGTACCCAGTAGTATTTGATGATGTATTTGTATTTTGGTTCTAATTTTTTGTTATTGTATTTGGATTGCATTTTTGAGTTATCCCTTTATCGACCACAAACATTTTTTGTGATGTGTACTACTATATCACTATATATATATTTATGTCTTTGTTCTAATTGTCTTGGTTGTATGAGTTGTACATGTTTTTGTATTTAATGCGAAACAACGAGAAAAAAAATGACGTTTCTCTGTCTAAATTTTTCCTACTACTGACACCATTAAAATCAAAAATATATTACCGGTTTACAACCGCAAATATACTTTCGGTTTTCAATCATTTTTAACATAAAAGATACGCACCAGAAATATACTTCCGATTTCAGAAGAACATTTTAAGAAATACCTAAGGTCTTTCTTTTAGCCGTGAAGTGCAATAAGAAATTCCCTTTAAACAATCAATTATAGACCCATTAGTGTATATGGGCTTGAATCATTATAAATAGGCCCATTGGGTAAAGAAAAAAAAATGATGTTTCGAACAAAAACAAAAAACATTACAATTGATGTTAGAATTAGATAATCAGGTCACCGGAAACCCGAGCTCCGAATCACCTCTCCTGCCACATCTGTTCTTCAGCTACTTTCCAACCCCTCTTCCCTTCTTCCCCCAACCCCAAAATCTCATCCTCACTCAACTTCATCTCCTTCATCAACCATAGCTAAACCAAAAACCCAAGGATTCACCTTCCATTTTCATCAATTTTCAGTTACCCCTCTTTTCCCTCTTTTTTTTTTAATCTAATCTTATAATTTTCCCCCTTTTTTGTTCGTTACTTCTTCATATGTGTAGCTCTTATCGAAATTTTATTCATTCCACTTGGTTCTTTGGTTTCTGTAGAATATATATGTTTTCGATCTTATCTGTTTCTGCATTTTCTTTCCTTTTTGCATGTAATTTATCTTATTCCATTGATTCACATTAGGTTTTAATTAGTATTAGGATTGAAAAGTTTGTATTTTTATTTTGTGTTTAGTTGGTTGTGGAAATTTAATCTTAAACTTGTTCTATCTTTGTAGAGATGAAATATAAATACCAACTTATACACATTCTTGGTGGTAATTTAGGCTTGTTATTGAGTTGATTTTGTTTTGATTCAGTTATTATGTTTGGATTTTGGTGATTTGAATTTTTAGTCTTCCTTTTGTGTTTCTGGTTGGTTTTTATTTTCTGCACATTTATGTTATTTAATTTATTACGACCGGTAGTACTCGATATGTTTTACCCTAGCATTTACGCATTTGGTAGTGTTATTAATCGAGGATAACGGAAAATAGTGGTTTGTTCAAATTCTGATATGCTATAGCTCTTTAGGGGCAATTTAGAAACCCTAGAATTTGATATGTTATGGCAATAAATAGTATTTGGGTGTTCGTTTTGGTTCACGGGGCTGCATCGTCAGCGTAAAGATTATAATGATTTCTTCAGCTCATTTTATATACCGAAGTTTTAAATTGACAACTCTTCGAATGTTTCAGAAGTTTGGTTGACTTCAGAATTCAATATACACATGTATTTGCTGTCTATGTTATATAGAATTGATAACTTCTCATTGTTGCAGTTTACATTAGCTATGTGATTTTAGTCTAGTAATTAGTAATTGGCTCGGAACTTATAACTTCTTGCTTTTTCCCTCAGAACAAGCTGTGATGTACGTGCTATGACATTTCGTAGTTGATAAATGACCGTGGAGGCTTCTGGTAATTTAAAGATGTCGCGTGAATTTGATGATGATGATGATGATGGGCCGGTAGTTTTTAAGAGAAGTTCTGTGTCGAAGAGTAATCAATTGCATTCAGAAGTGAGGAAGTCAGCTTCTCATAGTCAGAGTAATCAATTGCATTCAGAAGTGAGGAAGTCAGCTTCTCATAGTCAGAGTAATCAATTGCATTCAGAAGTGAGGAAGTCAGCTTCTCATAGTCAGAGTAATCAATTGCATTCAGAAGTGAGGAAGTCAGCTTCTCATAGTCAGAGTAATCAATTGCATTCAGAAGTGAGGAAGTCAGCTTCTCATAGTCAGAATAATCAATTGCATTCAGAAGCGAGGAAGTCAACTTCTCATAGTCATGATGGACGGCCGTATAAAAAGACCTCTGATGTGCCTTCTTTGAACAACCAAAGTTCTAGCTCACAAAATGGTAAGGTTGTGCCATCTTCTAAGGTATTTGCCGCTGAATCTTCTGTGAGTGTAACAAAGGCATCACCGTCAATTCTCAAAACCTATGTGAGGTCCCCTTCAGCAAATAAAATTCCATCGTTTGGAAATAAAAAAGAGTCTCTTTTAGAAAAGAAAATTCCTGTTCAAGCTAAAGAGGAAAATAATTCTACCAAACATCTTAAAGAAGACAAATATGAAGATTCTGAGGACGAGGAGGATAATATGCCATTGAGTGCTAGGATGAAGACGAACAATGACAGTGCTAAGAAAGCTACTCCTATTGTTGTAAAGAAATCTAATGAAGACTCTAAGAAAGCAACTCCTATTGTTGTAAAGAAATCTAATGAAGACTCTAAGAAAGCAACTCCTATTGTTGTAAAGAAATCTAATGAAGACTCTAAGAAAGCAACTAATATTGTTGTAAAGAAATCTAATGAAGACTCTGATGATGATGATGTTCCCTTGTCAGCAAGGGTGTCACAGAATAATAATTTGGGAAAATCTAGTTCTAATTATAATGACGCCGATCAGAAGAAACCATTTCTAAAAGTTCTGAAAGGACATCAATATGGTTCCGATGCTAGTGTTAAACAGGAAAGGCCATCTACACTGTCTGTTAAGAGACCACTAGATAAGACTGATTCCTTGCACTCTTCTGGTAAGAAGTTAAAACTCTCGGATCCAACTCCATCAATTAATGCTAAACAAACATCGGTGAAATCTGAGCCGAAGGTTGAGGATGATGATGATGATGATGATGATGATATTCCGCTGTCAGCTAAGAGACCACTTGATAAGATTGATTCCTTGCACTTTTCTGGCAAGAAGTCAAAACTCTCAGATTCAACTCCATCAATTAATGCTAAACAGACATCGTTGAAATCTGAGCCAAAGGTTGAGGATGATGATGATGATGATGATGATATTCCTCTTTCCCAAAGAATGAATAAGTTGCCCCCATCAGTGGATAAACCAACTTCATTGAAGAAGGTGACAAATGTCACTAAAGTCAATAAAGGTGCAGCTCCATCTTTTAAGAAAAAGGCCAATTTCAAAAAATCAGGCAACAAATCAGAACAATTCAAATCTACTAAACTTACTCCGAGCTCTGGTGATGGGCAGAAAAAGTGGACTACTTTGGTTCACAATGGTATCATCTTCCCACCTCTTTACAAGCCCCATGGGATAAAGATTCTCTATAAGGGGAAGCCAGTGACTTTGACCCCTGAACAAGAGGAGGTACGAGTTTGTCTGAAAAATGCATACACGGTTTTGGCGACTGTTTGATCTTGCTTTTTTTGTTTTGTTTTTTGTTGAAAATTTCACATTGGATGTGATATGACTTGGAAAAAGTGTATATAATTGTGAAACATTTCTCACTTTACAAGTTGAATTAGGCTCTGCCAAACACTAAGATGATATCAGATTCTATTGTAGATCTCATTGGTAACCCTACCGGATTGGGATCACACTAAAGATATCCAGCCATGTTTGCTGAGTGTCTCACATTAGATGTGTTTTAGCTCGAAAAAAGGTTTTTATAATAGAGCAACATTTGTTACCTTACATGTCGGTTTGTAGGGTTGTGTTAGACCTTGTCTAATTTCCAAGATTTTTTTCTTCTATATTTTTAGTTTTTGTTAAATTTAGGTGAATCAATTATTTCAATGTGAGAATTCTCACATTAGGAAGTCTTTTTCTCAGAGTTAATATGAACTTGGAATATTATATATATGCAGGTTGCCACATTGTTTGCGGTTATGCGGGATACAGATTACATGCAAAAAGAAAAATTCAAGGAAAATTTTTGGACTGACTGGCGGAAGTTGCTGGGAAAGAATCACATGATTCAAAATTTGCAAGATTGTGACTTTACACCGATTTATGATTGGTACCAAATTGAAAAGGAGAAGAAGAAACAACTGACTACAGAGGTAAGTTGTTTTGTGTATTCTCATTTGAAAATGATAAAGGTGAATATCTCCTAGCATCATTTGTTTTTTAAGTAGATATTACACATGCTTTCCAATATCACAGACATAGATTAGTTGTTTTGAGATTTAATTTTGCGTTTAGCTGGTTTAGTTCTGTATTCTCCAAATCATGGTTGTCTAGTTTGTAGATCCTGCATTTGATTGGACCAGATATTTGGGCATGTAAAACATGTGATAGGTAAAATATGAATCATAGGAACAGTATGAATCATAGAAAAAACCCGTCCTGTATCAGCGAGTTTTTTCCTCTGGGAATGGGCTGGAATATTGTTGAATTTGGTGTATCAGCAGTTATCTCACACAGTACCAGGGAGTTTAATGTCCAAGCTTGCAGCTTTTCCACTGTCCCAACAAAATGTGTTCCGAGTTGGGTTGAGGATCATTGAAAGTTGCATAGCATGTAGAGTTATGTGTTTCAACAATCTGACATATAGTCATGTCTGACAATTATAGTCCAAATAACAGTATATCATACATTGCTTCAATTTATTGATTTTTAACAATCTTTTGAAAAGATCGAGATGAATCTAGGCTACCTTATAAAGTTTATGTGGTAAATCTCATACTCCCTTTGAAGCTTTTTGATTTTAATTGATGTGGTTTGTTCTGGACATTACAGTCATACCTCTTTATGCATGTATGTGCCTTTTGTGAAAGCTTTTTATTAGTTAGCTTCAGATGTAAGCATTAGTTATAAGACAAGGATATTTGAAGAAGTTTTGTGTGATTTTATTAACTGATATTTTGCCTCTTATACAAGAGTAAATGTGACAGTTATAGAGATTCCTAAAACCTCTCCATAAGGCCACTAACATGATATACAGGCCATGATTTTAGGCATGAATAAACTAACAGCATTGACCGAGTTTAGTTGAATAAATAATAACAAATAATTAAATTAAATAACATTAATTTAATTCTCTAACATGCCCCCGCAAGTTGGACGGCCGACGGGAAAGTCCGAGCTTGTTGATGATAAATTCAAACTGGGGACGGTGGAGAGGCTTCGTCAGAACATCGGCGAGCTGGTCGCCAGTGGAAACATGAGTTACCCGGAAAACACCACGTTTCACATTCTCCCGAACAAAGTGATAGGCGATGGCAATGTGTTTCATTCTGGAGTGGAATACAGGATTGGATGAGAGAAAGGTGGCACCCATATTGTCACAATATATGGCAGGTTGATGGATCCTGTGATGGAGCTCTTTGAGGAGAGACATGAGCCAAAGAACTTCGGATGCAGTGTCTGCGAGGGCTCGGTACTCGGATTCTGTGGAGGAACGAGCCACAAGTCTTTGCTTTTTGGAGCCCCAAGAGATAGGGGTGGAACCGAGATAAATTATGAATCCAGTTGTGGAGACGTAAGTGTCCCTGTCACCAGCCCAGTCGGCATCGGAAAAGGCATGTAATGTTGTGGATGGGCTGGGAGAAACAACGATGCCCTTGTCGATAGTTCCGACAAGGTATCGAAGCAAGCGTTTGAGAGCAGCCCAGTGAGATGATGTGGGATGTTGCATAAATTAGGACAGTCTATTGACTGCATATGCAACATCAGGACGGGTTAAGCTTAGGTATTGCAAGCTGCCGACGATACAACGATAATCGGTGGGTGAGGGAAGTGGTTCACCTTCTGTTTTGAGTAGGGGAGTTGATGCAGAGAGTGGTGTTGTGACTGGTTTGGCATCCTCCATGCCAGCTTTGATGAGCACATCACTGATATATTTTCTTTGAGACAAAAAGAGGCCACCAGAGTGATGTGGGATTACTTCAACACCCAGGAAATATGACAAGGTGCCTAAATCCTTGAGAGAGAATTGTGCAGCAAGGCGTTGAACAAGTTGGGTCACGGCTGTGTCGGTGTTTCCGGTGACGATAATATCATCCACATATACCAATAATACAAGAAAGATTGACTCACTGGAATGGATGAAAAGTGACGCATCTGCCGCCGAGGTTACAAAACCAATTTTGAGTAAAAAGGAGCGGAGTTCAGGGTACCACGCCCGCGGTGCCTGTCGAAGACCATACAGAGCTTTGTTGAGCCGGCAGACATGGTTGGGATGAGATGGATCTGTGAAGCCTGGCGGTTGGCATACGTACACCTCCTCAGAAAGTGAACCTTGCAAGAACGCATTGTTGATGTCGAGTTGACGCAAGTGCCAACCCTTGGAGACGGCTAACGTAAGAATGACTCTAACAGTAACCGGTTTGACCACGAGGCTGAACGTCTCATGGAAATCCCAGCCTGGCCGTTGATGGAAGCCTTTTGCGACGAGCCTTGCCTTTAGACGATCAATAGAACCATCTGGAAGATATTTGGTTCGAAATACCCATTTGCTACCAACCAAGTTTTGTGTGGGGTGGGGTGGAACTTGAGTCCAGGTATTGTTGGCGCATAAGGCATCATACTCCTTTTGCATTGCTTCCCGCCATGCTCGATCCTTGAGAGCTTGCGTGATTGTTCGTGGTTCAATGGGTGGATGAGGAGTGGCAGAGAGGTTCATCTTGTGGAGGGGTTTGAAGATGTTGTTTTGGGATCGAGTGACGATGCCACAATCCGGGATGATTTGAGTGGGTGGCGGTGTTGATTGTGGTTCTGGGTATGAGGACTGAGAGGTAGAGGGAGTGGCAGCGAAGGGACTGGATATAGAGGATGATGGAGATATGAGTGGATTTGTTTGAGAGAGGCCTGCGGAGCTCGTTGGACTTGGAGAATTAGGGGGGTTGGGAGTGGAGTTTAGTGAGCCTGGTGATGGGGTAGGTGGATAACTAGGATATGATGAGGCTGATTGGGACGGAGATGGAGGTGGCCTGGGACATGGGAGGATGGGTACTGATAAAGTGGTCCAATTTGTATGTTGTTCTGAATTTTGTGTAGTTTTGGGTTGTTGTCGAAACGGGAATTCGGTTTCAACAAATTTGACGTGCCTTGAGGTGTAGACGCGTCGGGTTTTCGGGTCCATGCAATAGTAAGCATGTTGAGTTGTGGAGTAACCTACAAAAACACAAACAATAGATCTGGATTCCAATTTATGGATTCCAATTTATGAGAAGTATATGGTTTTAACCATGGAAAACACAAACAACCAAAACTTTTTAACTTAACATAATCTGCATTTTGTTTAAAAATAATAGAAAAAGGTGATCGATTTTGTAGAGTTGGGGTGGGAAGACGATTGATGAGATATACCGCGGTGAGAAGTGCATGAGGCCAAAACTCAAGTGGCATACCAGAGTGTGTTAGTAGGGCAAGACCAGTTTCGACTATGTGACGGTGTTTACGTTCGGATATACCGTTGTGTTCGGGAGTATGTGGTGGTGAAGTAAAGTGACTTATTCCGTGTTGACTTAGGAAATTTTTAAGAGCAATAAACTCGCCGCCATTATCAGAATAGAATACTTTGATTTTTGTTTTGAAGTAATTTTCGACAAGTGACCGAAATTTAATGAATGTATTTTGGACATCGGATTTGCGTTTGAGTGGATAAATCCAAGAATATCGTGTAAAGTGATCAACAAAAACAACATAATATTTGAATCCATCATACGACAATATATGAGAGGTCCATACATCCGAGAAAATAACTTCAAGAAAATAATTTGAACAAAGACTAGAATTATGAAATGGGAGCTTGTGACTCTTATTTAATTGACAAGAGGTGCAATCAGATTGCTCAAAAGTGGGGGTGCTAATCTGAAGTTGTTGTTGAATTAATTTGAATGTAGCAGCAGATGGATGACCTAAGGCATGGTGCCATTGTGGATTGGAGTCGCGGGACGAAGACAAAACTGTAGGAGAGGAGGTGGGCCACATGTATAAGCCGTCTCTACAAGGTCCATTAAGAAGAATCCTACCTGTTTTGAGACACTTAACATGAAAAGAATTGGGTAAGAAAACAATGGCACAGTTCTGTTGAGTTGAAAGTTGAGAAACAGAGATAATGTTTTTGGTCATTTGTGGAACACAAAGAGTATCAGCTAATTTAAACATAGATGCAGAAGTGTTAAGTGAAAGAGTTCCAGAGTTAGTGATTCGCAAACCTTCACCACTGCCCATGAATAGTTCGTCTGGACCGTTGTAGGGATAGTGGAGGGAGAGTTGGTCGAGGTCGTTGACAACGTGATGCGTTGCACCGCTGTCGACTATGAAGTTTTGAGAAGCGGAGGCAGTGTTGGCAGTGTGAGCTTGAGGTGGGGTATGAGGTGCAGGATTTTTGGGCAATGTTGGAGGACGAGCGGCCGGATGCTGTTGGCGGAAGAGAGGACAGTAGGCAACGACATGGCCTATTTCACGACACCATTGGCATTTGCCGAGAAAGGGTCGAGCGTGTTGCGGGGGGGCCATGGGAGGAGTGCGGAAGTGAGTGGGAGTTGAGCGGTTGGATGGCTGCTGATGGCGTTGCCGATTGTTTCGAGGACGAGACTGTGCGTTCAGGGCTGTTGCTGGTGCGCCCGAGTTGGTTGCTGCAGTGTGGAGTTCATGTTCCCTGACGATGAGCTTCTCGTGAAGCTCGTCAATATTGATGGTGGTATCCCGGGCCTTGATCGCGTCAACAATGGACTGATAATTTCCATCGAGACCTTCGAGGACATAGGAGACAAGGTCGTCATCGTCAACCGGTTTTCCGAGCGAAGCGAGGAGGTCTGCGGTCGAAGTGACCGATTGAATGTATTCAGTGATCGACTTAGAGCCTTTTGTTGAGGAGCGCAACTTTGCTTTGAGTTGATTAAGGTGGCCCTTTGATGGGTTGGCATAGGTGCGGGCGAGAATATCCCATGCTTCTTTTGAGGTGGTGGCTCGAGTGATCAACGGAGCCACAAAGGTGTCGAGGGTACCGACTAGAGCGCCATAAAGGAGTTTATCCTGACGCATCCAGGAATTGAATGCCGGGTTGGGGGTGGTGACGTTGTTGGCAGTGAGAGTTGTAGGCGGAGCAGGGTGGTCGCCGTTGAGAAACTTGAACAGGTCATATCCGGTGAGAGTCGCCTGAATTTGCGACTTCCAGGTTATGTAGTTTGAAGTGGTAAGTTTTATGGCGTTGGTGAAGTGCACAATGACGAACGGGCGGGCGCCGTCGTTTGGGTTAGTAATGGTGGTGGAAAATTCAGCAGCCATGGTGTTTGATTTTAGAGAAGAGATAGATCAGCGGCTGATACCATATAAGACAAGGATATTTGAAGAAGTTTTCTGTGTGATTTTATTAACTGATATTTTGCCTCTTATACAAGAGTAAATGTGACAGTTATAGAGATTCCTAAAACCTCTCCATAAGGCCACTAACATGATATACAGGCCATGATTTTAGGCACGAATAAACTAACAGCATTGACCGAGTTTAGTTGAATAAATAATAACAAATAATTAAATTAAATAACATTAATTTAATTCTCTAACATTAGTGTCATTTATTTATTATGCCGAGTGTTGACCTTCTTTTGTCTTCTTTTTATCAGGAGAAAAAGGCCCTAAGGGAAGAGAAAATGAAACAAGAGGAGAAATACATGTGGGCTATTGTTGATGGTGTTAAAGAGAAGGTTTAATCTTCTCTCCTTCTTTCTTTGCCCAACAAAACCCCCTTCCCTGCATCTCTTGGAAAAATATTGCCTTTTGCCTTAGAATTTGTACAGCTTTGGGAATATCAAAAGAATAATATTTAACTTGAAGGAGTCATGTGTTCATAATGTTTAACTTTTTAACTTTTATCCTGTTGACCTTTGTCTATCTAAGCATTTACTTTCGAAATGTTCTTATGAAATTTAGTTTCTAATTTTTTCTTGGGAAGCTTTTTATGACTAATTTTCGTTAATTCTTTTAGGTTGGCAATTTTAGAGTTGAACCTCCAGGATTATTCCGTGGGCGTGGAGAGCATCCCAAGGTTGTTATGATAATTGCTATTGTAATTGGAAATAAAAACATGTAAAAGAAATACATATGTAATGATTTTCATGAATTTTCGGTGCATCTTGAGAAGTATTACAAGTATCCGACAAATTTTGGCACTAACTAGTTATACTTTATGTTATTAGATGGGCAAAGTGAAAAGACGTATTACTCCAAACGATGTCGTAATTAATATTGGAAAGGATGCACCAATTCCTGAATGTCCTCTTCCTGGGGAAAGGTATCATTGTTCAAAACTTCTGGCAAACAAGTCTTAAAAGCTAATGAATAGTGAAAATTCATAGTCATTGTTATGTTCTGAAATCATTGATTTGTGTTCCCTTGGCAGCTGGGGAGAGATAAGACATGATAATACAGTTACTTGGTTAGCCTACTGGAATGACCCAATCAATCCAAAGTTATTCAAATACGTGTTTCTGGCAGCTAGTAGTTCTTGGAAGGGTCAAAGCGACAAGGAAAAGTACGAGAAAGCAAGGATGTTGAAGGTGCTTTCATGCTTTGTTTATCAGCTTTTATTAAATATACTTCTCAGTTCTCACATGATATTTTGTATGATATTTAAAAGAGCCTGTTTAATCATGCAATACCTTAACATCTGGGTGCAGAGTTATATAGGGAACATCAGGGCTGCATATACGAAAGATTTCACAAATATAGATATTAAGAAGCAGCAAATAGCTGTTGCTACATATTTTATTGACAAATTAGCTTTGAGGGCTGGCAATGAGAAGGTACAAATAAATACCTCTTATTTCTTTTCAGTTTTCACTGCCTTTATCGCCTGAAAATTACCTCAACTTTTGCAAATCAAATATAGTTGCTTATCATTTACATTTCCTCAGGATGACGAAGAAGCTGATACAGTTGGTTGTTGTACATTAAAAGTAGAAAATGTAACTGCAGAAGGCAACAACAGGTTGAAGGTATTTTAGCTTCAATATCTATCCACCTTTGTCTGTTTCTTAGGTTGAGGAGGATGAACAGAAGTACCTTACATGTGATTTTTTCTTAAGATTCGGTTTCCTCCCTCTTGAATTGTTTTATTGTAGTAACGATCATATTTCCTTGCTGGATTAATGCAGTTTGACTTCCTTGGTAAAGATTCAATCAAGTATGAAAATACAGTTGAGGTGGAGCCTCCTGTTTACAATGCCATTTTGAAGTTCCAAAAAGGTGGGAAAAATGGTTACACTTTTTTATATACTTCCTATGAGACTGAGGTCATTAAGTATCTGCTTTTCTCAATTATCAGGTAAAAGTCCTGGTAAAGAGATTTTCGACATGCTGGATACAAGTATATTAAATGCTCATCTGAAGGAACTCATGCCCAACCTGACAGCAAAAGTCTTCCGTACATTCAATGCATCTTTCACTTTGGATGATATGGTAAAAGTGTTTTGAAATTGATACCTAGGATTTCATATTGCCATCAAAAAGAGATTATCAAATCATCTACTATACTTTATGTACCGTCAATTAATTACTCTATCATTTGTGTCTGCGGTGTTAATACCTTTTTTAAAGATCAAATTAGAGGTTTTGTTGATTTCATTCTGCCATGTAATTTTAGAACTTTTTTTTTTAATTTTCCTTGAATTATGTGGCGGCAGTTGAATAAGGAAACTAAAGATGGAGATCTTGCAGAAAAAATTGTTGTCTATCAGCATGCAAATAAACAGGTAGACTTCACAAAATTCCTTTTTGTCTCCTTTATTAACGCACATAAATTGTTATGTATTTTACTGATTTCTAAGTCGCATTGATGTTTCTTTCACATAACAGGTTGCGATCATTTGTAATCATCAACGTAGTGTTTCAAAATCTCATAGTGCACAAATTTCCAAGTTGAATGAAAAGATTGATGAACTTCAGGTAACTAAGAATTTTGAAAGCTGGGTGTGGATGAATTTCTTGTTGCAAGTACACATTCTTGGGGCTGATTTTTTTTTTAATTTTAATTGTAGGCTCTTATGAAGGAGCTGAAAACCGATTTGGACAGGGCAAGGAAAGGAAAGCCGCCTCTAAAGAGTTCTGATGGAAAGAGCAAAAAGAACTTGAGTCCTGAAGCGTAATATACTTCTTTCTTACCATCTTTACAAATTATAATCATCAAGTGTAATTTGTGATTGTGATTTATGTAACATAACATACAGGATAGAGAAAAAGATGGATCAAACAAGTGCGAAAATTGATAAAATGCAACGTGATATGAGGACAAAAGAAGATCTAAAAACCGTTGCACTTGGCACGTCCAAGATCAACTACTTAGATCCCAGGATAACAGTTGCCTGGTGCAAGCGGCATGAGGTTCCTATTGAAAAGGTCTGCACTTCTTCACTTATCACTATTACACTTGATGAACCGATTATGCAAACTTGTTTTATTGGGAAGACTAAACGAAAAAATGAAATAAACGGGCCATTTCTAAATGACAGGTTTAAGCTATCTTAATATGAATGGTGAACTGATATAACTCAGATGTTTGATTTTGATTGGCTAATGACTAACTACTTAACTCTGAAATGCTCAGATTTTCAGTAAAACTCTGCTGGAAAAGTTTGCTTGGGCAATGGATGTGGATCCTGACTTCAGATTCTGAGACCTATAAGATGGAGGAGGAATACAAATACAATTATGCAGGGGAAAAACATTTTTTTTACTTATTTTCTACATGAAATGAAATAATTTTTTGTTTCTGTTTTATTAAGTTGAGCGGAAATTTATGTTGCAAATTCTTGATCTAATCTAATTAGAGGTGAGTTGTCCCTGTCCCCTTTGTTCATGGACTGTCAACCATTCATATTTATAAGTTAATGTGATGGACAATTGTTGAATTTGGAAAATGAAACAACTTGTTGTTTATTCATTCTTGTTTATTTTATCATGTGTGATTGCTTTTCTAGAGGCTAGGTTTGATCCCCATGCTGCTCATATTTTGGTCATGATTGGATTAACAACTTATTTGTCTCCAACAACTTAAGCACTTATCATGATAAGTACTTTTGTGTTGGTTATTTTCAAACTCCTCGCTTGTCATTTATTTCATAATAAATGACTTAAGTAAATAAGGTTTATTTTAAAATAAATGTCATTGTTACCTTTTAACATGATTTTTTTTCCTCATTTAAATCATATAATAATTAATATTCCCTTAGTCTTATTTTAAGTGGTTCATTTAAATTCTACACGCTTTTAAAGATAATTTAATTATGTTTTTTAGAATTGGAAAGCATAAACTAATAAAAAGAAACCAAAAGCTACGTAATATACAATAATAGCAAATAACACAAGAAGTGCTCAAGAATGGCTATCAACCAGGGTTGGAATCAAATAGAAAAAACAAAAGAAGAAAAATTATCTTCATTGGGAAACAAAACCAACCAAACCATTTGACCAGGCTATCTAGAGACATCACAAACAAACAAATTTTCAAAGAGAGCAAATTTGAAGAAGGTAGACACAATCACCTATACAAAGTAAAAAGGGGGCAATTGGCCAACCATCACACTCTTAACTGTCCAATCATTTTAGCGAGTCTCGCTCCCAGTCAATTAGAGATATAAACGAATGAGAAAAAAATAATTAACTCGTCAATCTAAATTAAACAAAATCGAAAAAAAAAACTAACTGTTTTTGGTTCGGTTCAAAAATCAAACCAAACTAATTAAAATCGACGTGGTTTAGTTTGATTCTCGATTTTAGTTTTTAGAAACCACCAAATCGACGAACCGACCTGATAATTATGAATACCTACTTAGTCTTTTATTTAGTTCATTATTAAGCTCAAATTTTGTATCAGTCCAACACTTCTCAATCTTTTTTTACACTTTCTTTTTTTGAACAAAATATGTAGTCAAAACCAAACTCCAAACATAAAAAATAAAAACCATAAGCCATAAAAACTTGCTCTCGCCAAACTGTCATTCTGACTGTCCGCCACGACTGTTTCTCTCGTCACCACCATTCTTATAGGTTATGGGTGCCTTATTTGTGTCCAAGTTCTCTTCGTTTGTTTTCATTTTTTTTACCTTTTATGTTTCTTCTTCAACGAATTTCCTTCTAGTCTTATTACAAAATAATTTTTATGTGTGTTTGAGGTGTGAAACATGTTAATTTATGTGTAATGAAACCTTTTGTTTTTATTGTTGTGCTTTAATTGTTAAGCTTTCAAATCTTTTTCCAACCTTTTCATGTCAAGTGCCAACTTTTGTATTCGATAGTGAACTTATTTCATGACGTACGAAAATTATGTCAATACTTCATATGGATGAAGAATAACTCGTAAGTTGTTTGAAAAGTATAGTATGAAATGTATTATATGAAATGTATTATTTAAAAAAAAAGCATAAAATATACCGAAAAACATGATAGCAAATAATACATTGATGAATATAATATTTAGAAAAAAAATGTTGAAAACGGATCAACCAAATAAAATCAAACCGAACCAAACCTTTTAGTTTGGTTTGGTTCCATTTTAAAAAACACTAAAAATCGAATCAAACCAAACTGATAGAGATATTATCGGTTCAGACAAATTTTTGACCAAAAACCAGTCCAAACCGAATCGATTACACCACTTCAACGTCAATTTAATATTCATCAATATCAGTGATTAAGCGTCAAGTTTTTCATGTAAAAAATAACTATGTTCCACATTTTTCAAATAATTCATACCACAAAATTCCATATCGATATCAAGTCTAAAGGCTTACGTTTCCCATAACCAAAACCCTAGAACAACTTAAAAACTCTAGTATCAAGTGGGGAAAAGGCCCCGACCCCCAACCCACATTAAAACTCTATACCAAATGGTAGAAGAACCCTCAAACAAAACAAAGAGGTGATTTGGCGACTCCTCATGTCCACCGCATAATGGACACCCCCCCAAAAACTATAATCCGACAAGACTTTGCGAATTAGAAGGTTTCGCCTGATCGACAATCTATTATGAAGCAACTGCCAAGAGAACAAAACAAATTAAAAAGGTGTCCAACTCTTCCAAGTCCTAAAAATCTTCCTTAAGACCCTCTCAAGCCAACCTTTCTTGACCCTAACCAAAGCCAAAATAGTTTATAATCATAACTGATAGACAAGCCCTTAGTCGAGGCTGGCTTCCAAATCCAAGCATATTTTTTGCCACACCAAACAACATCTAAAATTAAGATAATCATAACCTCAAGAAACTCCTCCAAGACAAGAAAATTTTGCATCCACCTAAAGCTCAAAACACAAACATGCCCTTCCCAATCACTCATAGAACCCACCACCTGAGATTTTTGTTCAGAGATGAGGAAAAACCTCTCAAAAGATACACACAAAAGAGTAATCCCTACCCAAAAGTCATGCCAAAATCTAGTCTTCTAACCATTTCAAACCCTCTTCACATAAGTTGATGAAAACTAATTAGACTCTTGATCCGTTTACCCCTAAGAAGAGAAACACCTCTCCACCAATGAGACACTCTACTAACACCACCTTCTGTACCTCCAAAAAGGGAACCAAAAACCTTACCCATACACTGCCTTACATATATCGTTCCAAAGCAAAGGAAAACTTAAAAGAATCCCCCACCTCCACTTACATAACAAATAAAGATTAACAAGTCTAAGATCCTTAACCACTAACCCAACTTCTCTTTTTGACTGTGCCCACATCCTCCCACTTAACCAACACAAACTTGACTCCACCTTTTGAGCCCCTTAAGAAAGAGGCTATGAAAACCAAACAATTCTTCCAACCCAAAATTGGCTTCTTCGTGAAAGAGAAAAAGAACACATAGATTAAGTTCATAACCAAATTCAATATAACCACCCCACTACCTAAATTGACAAATCTATTCCTCCAAAAAGATAACCTCTTAAAGACAAGATTAACAAGAGGTTTCCAAGTCCATTCCTTCTTGGGGTTTGCACCCACCCGAAGCCCAAGATACTTAAAAGGAAGGGAGCCCACCTTACAATGTAAAAAGTCCTCTTCCAAAACCTAAAATGGCCTACCCACATTCACGCCAAACAAACTACACTTGGAAAAGTTCACTTTGAGACCTGATGCAAGCCCAAAGATTATGAGAACCTACTTGATAGTTAGAAAGTTCTCCACAGACAACACTCTCACTAGCACCGTATCATTGACATACTAGAGATGATAAAACTCAAGCTCATTCGTACCCACCTTGAACTCTTGTAAAACACCAATACCACCTTATTCAAATAAGCACTAAGACCATCTACCACAAGAACAAAGAGAAAACGAGCCAAAGGGTCTCTCTGCTTTAATCCCTTATGAATACAAATTTCCTTTGTTGGAAATCGATTCAAAAATAGTGAAAGGCTACCCGAAAAACATAAGCACGAGTCCAGGAACTCCACCAGTCATCAAAACTGAATCTCTGCAACATATAATTTAGGAAGAACCAACTAACAAAGTGATAAAACTTCTCAAATACCACTTTAAACAAAAAATCACTCTCGTTTAGACCTCCTAGTAGTGTCTAAAACTTCATTGAGAGAGGACATTTCATCCACCAACTTCCTCCCTTTAAGGGAAACTGACCGCTCTAGGGAGATAAGGTTCCCCATAAACTTAGCAATCCTGAAAGCCAATACCTTAGCCACAAACTTATATAAAAAAACCCAAAATGTAAATAGGTTTATAATCTTCTAGCTTTAAAAAACACTCCACTTTCAGGATAAGAGTGACGAAAAAGGACTTCACATTCATATTCAACACTACATTTAGGTAGATCTGGTCAAACATCACAAATTCATCATCCTTAAATAACCCCTAAAACCTCTTATAAAAAGAGAAATTGAAACTATCAGGGCCCAAAATCTTGGACCCATTTATCTCTGCAGCCACAACTGATAAGTGCAGATTGTAGCTATTTTTGTATATACTTTTTGTTGCACTTATAGACTTTTTGTTATTAATATCGTTGAATAATTCCCCGCTTTTTGTATAATTATGTATAAATTGTATTTAACTGAGTTTTTATGTATTTGTGTACCGTTTGATAGTTTTTCATTCATTTTATAGGTATTTGTGCATAATGGGAGCACGAGCAATAAAGTGTCGAAGACACGTCTTCAAACGCGCGATTTTGAGCAACTCGTCAACGAATAAGGCTCAAAATAAAAGAATAAGAAATCATCAATTTTGTTGATATTTAGATAAATAATTGAATACGCTTTCCAACACTTCTAATCGGGCGTAAATCGGAGTTACGAGTCTCAAGTTATGGCGAAAACAAAAAGCTGATTTTTTTCTCATGACAGTAGAGCACGCTTAGCGGGATTGTGCTGCGTAGCGCGGTTCCCATGACAAAATTGCATTAAAAGGGCCAAAATACCCATTTTTAGGTGATATTTGGGGGTATTTGTTTCCAACTCATCAAACCTTCATTTTTTGATAGATTAGATTAGAAAACAACATTAGGGCCTTGCTTATGGATGATTGGAGGTGGATTCTCTTCGACCGGCGTTGACAAACCAGAAGATTTGTGGTTTATATCTTCTCTCCTATTTGTATTTATCTTTTGTTGGGTATTGTTTGTATATTTACTTTGAACATATGTATATTTATTGATCATGGTGTTGT